AGATAAGCTCCCGGTACAGACACGATTGAGGCCCTTGGTGTCTTTGGACTAAGCCAGCCTTGGTTTAGTAAGGCCTTGCTGCAAAGGTATGTGACAAGGACAGAGACAGACTCGGGAAGCAGGGCAATGTGTGAGGCCTTGACCCAGATGTTGGAGAGTAGGGTTGGATATTCTTTCTTTCCTTGAAGAAATGTATCTCCAACACAACAAGATGGAGTTAATTGCATATTTGCACAGAGGCCTAAATGGTGCCACTTATGGTCCTTGTACTTTTTAGAGAGGTGAAGTGAAAATGCCCATAGTAGCCCTGGAAGGAGGAAGAACTCTGTAGCAGAACATGAATCAGTATGTTTGTAGTTATTTTTTATTGTTACATTTTTGGTGCTTACTCTGTAGCTTTGTGACCTTTCTTGAGTTTTTTTTAAATTTTATTTATTTTATTTTTTTAGATTTTTGTCCTAGAGAATGTGTGTTCACATTGGAGAGAGACAGAGGAAAGTGAGAAATCTCCCCCTATGAGGGGTGGCCACGTTACAGTCCTTTCTCTTCTTTTCTCCTCTTGGGATTCTGGGAATGCATGCACATGGCTCCTGGTGTGATTTTCAAGCTGCTGGGTTCAGGACTCCAACTGGAGTTGGCCATGTGGAATCCAGTGCCTTAACCATAGCGCCACCTGCTGGCCCCCTTTAGTGAGTTTTTAAAAAGAATTATTTTATTGAACTTTATTTTATTCATTTATTTATTTTAATTTGACCAGAGAGGGACAGAGTGAGTGAGAGAGGGAGAGACAGAAAGTGGGAAAGTGAGAAAGCAAGCCATCAGGTCCAAGACACAAACTGCGGTCAGCCATGTGGGAGCCCAGTGCCCTTAACCACTGAGTTTTTAAAGATGGTTTCCTCTTCTGGAGAGCGGGTGTGGTGGGCATCTTTGCTTTAGGTTGACAAGTTATGAGGTAACAGGTGTGCCACATTTGGCACCATGCCTGACTCAGTAGGTGCTCATGAACAGCCTTGTCAGCATCACTCACACTACTGCCACCAGTAAGTGGAACAGAACTTGTTATTAATGCCTTAATTTTTCCAGGTACTCGGGCAATAATTCTCTGATGCTAACTTATTTTTTGATACATTTTGAATAACTGAGGTAGGTTTTTGAAAGGTTTTCAATGTCAGCAGTGGAGGATGTAAGTATTGGGTCGTCAGGAAAGTCGTGACACATTTTTGCATGGAAAAAGTCATGATATTCTGAGACCCAGTATATATACTAGTTCTGAACAGCTGATCTGAGACCTGCAGGACCACATTCCTTTGGTTCCTTAATGTGAAACAAGGGATTTGTCCTTCAACACTCCTATGGAAAGTCATCCAGCGGGTCCTAGTGACTTCCCCAGAAGTGTTGGCTGCTAGTCATGCCCCTGGATGTCCACCAAGGATGCCCCCTGCCCTGGCTACAGCTGACACCTGCAGAACAGTGGGCTACCATCCTGGGAAGGTCTTGCAGAGTTCGTGACATGACAGCCTGTGCTTTGGTCCCTGGTACGAGTAATAACTTATTTATAATATCTAATAAAAACAAGACATCACTGCATTGGTGTCTCATCACAGGCAGCACCAACGTTTCCATTGTCTGCATTTAATGGGTTGGGATGGGTTGAGAGTTTACTGCTCTATACTAGGTCGTCCATAGATTAAAGAAATTTATTTATTACAGTTGGGGGAGACACCACTTTTTCTCTTTATACACACTTTTGTATTGAGAATAGGGCTGGACAGAGGAAAAGTAGAGAAGATTAAGGGGGAAGGAACAAAGAAGAACCTTTGCTTTCCGTGAAGAGTGAGCAATAATTTCAGACTTGCATCCCCCATGACTGGAACTAGACTGGGAGGCTGGCGATGCTGAGACAGGTGGTACACGCATGTCCTAGCTTCCCTAGTCTGTGGTTGGGATGCACATGTGACCTGTGGTTTCCTCTGTCTCCAGGGAGTGCACGATGTTCGGCAGGCCTACATCCAGTTTGCCCTTTCCTTTTTAATCGCTGGAGATGACAGCACAATTGTGCAGGTGCTGGAGCTGAAAGGTAGGTGTTCCTCTTTGTCCCTGAGAAACGCCTGCTTGTGACAATTTTGGAAAACCTGCTGCAAACCATTTTTTCCAGGTTAAAAAGCAATCCTGCCTTTGTGGCTGCCGAGTGTACTGGATGGAAAGAGAGGGAGAGAGATAGAGCCTTGGCCAGCACCATCTCAGCATCACTGGTTGGAATGAGCAGGGGGCTCCCTGTGATGCCTCCTGGGCTGCCAAGTGATGCCTTTGCAGAGGAGAGGTGGAAATCTCAGAGAGGCGGACTCCTTAAAGGAGGCTTCATGCTTTAGGCTCATAACCCTGGCTACCTGGCTTTCATTAGGAATTGCACTGGAAAAAAGAAGCTTTGGGTCAGCCTCAGGCATAGCAGGGAAGGGAGCTGGAACCCATCCGGCTGACTGTGTTTTTGATACCAGCCCCAACAGCTTGAAAAAACATACCTGGTGTGGGGACCAGCAGTTAGTGTAATGGCTATGTTGCTGGACTCCCATGTAGTCGACTGCAGTTCGATCCCTGGACCCAGTGGCTTAAAACTCGTGCTGGGTGCGTGTGTGTGTGCGTGCCTAAGATCCTGAGAGGAAAATGGAGAAGGGATTGCGGCATGGCCATCCCCCCTGGGGGATGATTTCTCACTTTCTGTCTCTGTCTCTCTCTGTCTGGCAAGCACACACACCCTATAGCAAAAACCTCACCAAAAAAAACCCAAAAAAAACAAAAAAAAAACCTCGTGTGTGGATGCATGCCCCAAATCCTGAAGGATGGAGAAATGAAGAAGAGAATGCAGTGTGACCATTCTCCCATTGAGGGGTGCTGTATCCTCACTCTTTCTCTGTGCCTTCTGGCAATTAAAATAATTAGATAAATAAAAATAAAGTTTAATGACTTCGGTGGCTTTCTCCTGTGTACCAGAATGTCAGTAACAGGGCTTTAGAGCCACTTGACCACCTGTGGCGACTGTCTCCCTAGAGCAAGGATTGTCATAGTTTTCACTGTTGGAGCCACTTGCCTTTTATGAGGAGATTCAGTGAGTCGGTGAATGGCAGCACCGAGCTTAGCACGAGGCACTGCCCAGTGAGCTCTCCCCAGAGTCATGCCCTGCTGAGGTGCAGCATGGTCCCACGTCCTGGCCAGAACTCTGGGAGTGGTCGGTGAGCAGCATGGTGCTGGGGCCTAGGGTGGCCAGGTCTCCAGGCCTCTTCCACCTCCTCGTGGGCGAGACCTGAGCTGTTGCCCAAATGTGACCGGGGGCCATGTAAGAGAAGGGTGTGGTGGTTGCCCTGTGTTGTGTTCAGCCTGGTCTGTATGGGGGTTCCACTCTCTCAGTCTGGGGTAAAGCCCCATGGGAGAGGAGATGCATTCTCTCTCTCTTTTTTTTATTTTAATATTTTATTTTTTTATTTATTCATTCATTTATTTCTTAATTTGACCAGAAAGAGACAGAGGGTAAGAGTGACAGAGAAAGGAAGTGAGAAAGCAAGCCACCAGATTCAGGACTCGAACCCTGGTCAGCCATGTGGGAGTGTCCAGCGCCTTAACCACCATGCCACCTGCTGGTCTCTTTTTTTTTTAAATAATTATTTATTTTATTTTTTTATTTATTCATGAGATGCATTCTCTTTGATTGATGCAGCAGACAGATTTTTTTCCCTGCGTGTTGCTAGGAATTAGGTTCAAAATGTCCTGCTGCTGCCAGGGCTAGTAATTTATTTACCCCCACCCCCACCCCCCATCCCTGGGTCATCTCAGCCGTCTGGCCTTTTATTACAGGACAGCGGGTACTCATGTACACTGCCCAGGGAGGCAGGGATGAACATCAGTCTGACGTTCTGCAGAGCAGTTTGGCTGTATGCATCCAAACTTTTAAGATGTTTGATCCAGCAATTCCATGTCTGTTCATTTATCCTAAGGAATAGTTAAGGGTAACAGTATAGGTTTTGTTAGGGAATATATTTTCATACAAGTGGTCCTCAAAAAGTTTATTGAAACTAGGTATTACAAAAATAAAACCTGTGCATGTTTCAAAATATTTTGCACCAGAATAAACTGATATATTAATTACTTTTTTTGGTGAATTTTTTGGAGTCCCTTCATGCTAAAAATCGCACTTCTCTTACCTATCTACCTGCAAGGGACTGGTTGAGCAAATTGAGGGCTAGTCATAAGATGGAATCCAGTTATTACAAATGATGTAGAAATACACTAACTGTCATCAGAGGGTTTTTAACAGCATATAATTGGGTGTAATCAGTTTTAAAGCTGTGAAGTATAACCCCATTTTACTGAAAGTTGAATAGAACAGCAAAAATATATCAGAAGGTTAGCCGTTAACAGTGATGACTTCTAGGTCATGGTTGATTTAAAATTTTATTATTTTGGTTTCTCTGATATTTCTTGATTATTATTGAGGATAGTGAACTTGCTTTAGTAGAAATCATGTGTGCCCAGTGAGTATGTATGGTGTGAGAAAAATCGTGATTGTTTGATGCATTGTCTGGTGACACCAGTATGTTAGTAAAGACACAGCATCAGGCCTCATGGCTCTTTCTGGGAGATAAAAAAGTACCAAGAGAAAAGAAACAAAATCACTTAAAGTCTACCATCAACCGGGACCAGCAGTTAGTGTAATGGCTATGTCGCTGGACTACTACGTAGTTGACCGCGGTTTGAGTCCTGGACCCGGTGGCTTAAAACTCACACGTGTGTGCGTGCGTGTCCAAGATTCCGAGAGGAGAATGGAGGAGAAGGGATTGCGACGTGGCCGTCCCCCCTGGGGGGTGATTTCTTGCTTTCTATCTCTCTGTCTCTGTCTGTCTGGCGAGCGCACGTGCCCTATAGCAAAAACCTCTTCAAAAAAAAGTCTACCATCAACCAACGCAACGGTGATCATCATTTTATTTTATTTTAAAGAATTATTTAATTTTATTTATTCATTCATTTTTATTTTATTTTGACCAGAGAGAGAGAGAGAAAGTGAGAGAAAGTGAGAAAGCAAGCCACCAGGTCTGAGGTCTGGGACTCGAACCATAGTTTGCCATGTCAGAGTGTCCAGTGCCTTTACCACCAGGCCACTTGCTGGTTCCCTATTTTATTTTATTTTTAAGGAATTAATTAATGAATTTGCTACAGGGCATGTGTGCTCACTAGAGGGAGACAGAGAAGAAAGTGAGAAAGCTATAGTCGCCGGGTCCAGGACTTGAACAACAGTTGGCCATGTGGGAGTCCAGTGTCATCTGCTGGCCTGGCGACCATCACTTTAAACATAACTCTTGAGCAGGTTCAAGCAAGAGAGAAATTGTGGAAAACCTGTCATACTACATGTTCTTTTTCACACAGTCAGTGTTAAGTTCATTTTACTTAATATGAGAAAAGAAAAGTAAAACAGAACTGGAGAACCACTGAATTTCCTGAAAAGCTCTGTCATTGTTTGACTCATCAGTACTTTTGATTTCCAAGATCACGAAAGTGATCATTCCTACTATGAACTTGCATAATAAAAACAGACAAGACACTATTTAAAAAGGGTAGTTGGGGGACCAGCAGATGGTATAATGATTATGTCACTGGACTCCATGTTTCGACTGCAGTTGGCATCCCAGACCTGGCGGCTTAAAACTTACACTGGGCACGTGGGCATGCATGCCCAAGATACCGATAGGAGAGTGGAGGAGAAGGGATTGTAGTGTGGCCATCCCCCCTGGGGGGTGATTTCTCTCTTTCTGTCTCTGTCTCTCTGGTGAGCACATGCACCCTATAGCAAAAAAAAAAACTCTCTTAAAAAAATGGTAGCTATTGTCTGCTCTGCCATGCAAAGTGTAATGTTCTCTTATCTGTTCTCATTCTCAATATACGACTGAGTTTAATGTGTGGAACTTTTATTTTCAGAGTTTATTCCTTGCATTTTTAGCTCAGGCATAAAGGAAGACAGGATTTCTACCATCAATATATTATTATCCACTCTGAAAACAAAGGTATGTGTTTGGTAATCTGTGTTTTTTATCATCTGTTTTCTCCTTTGAATGAGGAAATAGTCTCCAGTGTTTTATGGGAATCTACATTTATATAGCATTTTATGTTACATAGGTGTTAGGTGGATTGAATAGAAAGCTATATTTTTTTAAATTTATTTATTTAGATTCCATCATTTGTATATCTCTATAGCTCACAATATGGTTTTTCAACACATGCATGTAATGCATGACCTTCAAAGATATTACATAATTTTCAACAGAGAACTTTACATTCTTTTTTCTGTTACGTGTTTCTTCCCCTTGCCCCTCCCAGCCACCCTCGACCAGGTACTTCCTTCCCTTGCAGTCTCTGGTAGCCACTCTTACCCCTCCTACTAGCACAGCTAAGGTCTCTCATTTCAGGCATAGAGTGCAGACATTTGGCATATATTGAGTGGGGATATACAGTATGTGCTTTTAGAGTCTGGCTTATTTTGCTTAGCATTAGTCTTTTGTATTCATCCCCTCTGAATCAAATGATAAGGAGACACTTGTTCTTGGTGCTGAGCACTCCTGGGGCCAGCAGGTTGACAGGTACCTGAAGCAGCTGCTGGTGTCCAGTCAGGGCCTCTGTTCTGTTACAGCAGGAAAGCTATTGATCATCATTTCATAATAACCCACTGTAAGTTCCTCAAAATACTTCACTTACACATCTTGGAAAATGTGATTTCGTGTTATGTTTCATATTCTGCCTTCTACAAGCATCTCATAGAAATTTAAAAACTTGCCAAGAGGATTTCCATCTTGTACCTTAAGCTGTCAGATAGGAAAAGTGTGATTTTCCCAACATGAAAGGTTGTCAAAAGTCCATGTAAAAATAGCTAATAAGTATGAAAATACTTCCATAGTATTTAAAACAGTGGCTCTCAGTTTTACTCCCCATGAACATTTGGCAATGTTGGAGGACACTTGTTATCACGTGGAGAGGTGCAGCTGGCGTCTAGTGGGGAGAACCGGGAGTCCTAGGTGTTCCTGGACGTCTGTCAGTGCCCGGGGAAGCCCCATGTCCGTGATCGGCCCCAGCTGTCGTGCAGTGAGTTGAGAAACTCTAACTTAAAGAAATGCAGATAATGGGACCCAGGTTTCATATAGCACGGCCTTTTGTGTGTGTGTGCTTTGCTATAGGGTGCGTGCCCTTGTTAGAGAGTGAGTGACAGAGATACATAGGGAGAGAAGAGAAGTGAGAAATCACCCCTCAGGGGGATGGCCACACCACAATCCCTTCTCAGGATTTTGGGCATGCATGTTCATATAGCTGGTATGACTTGCAAACTGCCAGGTCCAGGACTCAGAATGCGGTCGGCCATATGGGAGTCCAGCACTTGAACCACCAGGCCACCTGCCAGCCCTCACACTGACGTGGAACGTTGGTATTCAGTGCTGGTACAGATGCCCTGCATCAGGTCCTTTCTTGGAGGAAGTAGTAAGCCCTGGGGAAGACAGCAGTTCTGGCAGTGTGTGTCAGAAGTCCACATGTATCCGTGGACCCTGACGTATGGTGGTTCTGAACCACTTGGGGAAGGTTCTTGAAATGTATATAGCTGGGCCACACCCCCCAGACCATATTAGGGTGGGTAGTTGGGTAGAGCTGAGAATTGTGCCACAGTTCTGTCTGTGAGGACATGTGCCAGGTTCACAGTGAGGGATGCAGTGAAGACTGTGCAAGTATGGTAATCACTGCTTTACGGAGAACACCGGAGTGTGGGAACAGGCTGCTTGTAAATGCCAGAGGAATGAGTGATGGCTCACTCAGAGACAGAATGGTATTTAGCGCTCCAGAATACTGTTCTACAGGAGTTTGTAATGATGTGGAAAAGGCCCATTCCACATGAATAGAGCAGGCAGAAAGCCACATATAAATACAGTCTCAGATAAAAAATAATCAGCATGTCCATATATAGATGCTGTCAGGGAGTGTGGGTGGGGAAGTGGTGGTGGAGGCCGAAAGGAAACAGCTCCAAATGATAACTGGGTACTTTAGGATGTCTAGGAATATCGCTGAGTTATTTTTTTCTCATTATAAAATTTTAAATCCAGTGTTTTGCCTTTAGCCCACATCACTTTTATGACAAGAAAATAATAAAAACTATTTTAAAAATAAGCAACTTTCTTAAACTTCATTGTTGTACTGTATGTTCTTTGCAGGTGGTTCACAATAAAAACATTACGAAAACCCAGAAGGTGCGTTTCTTTACTGGGCAGTTCCTAACCCACATAGCATCTCTCTACGGCTGGAATGGGATCGCAGACGTGAGCCCCGGAGACGTCCAGGTGTGGTTATTCTCAGTGTCACTGGTGTGTGATCCTCACCGCGGGGGATGGCTGGATCTGAACACAGCACTGGACTTCAGGGTTTCTTCTGGCTTGTGGTTATCTGAATTCTCTGCCAGATGTGATCAGATTTTCTTTTTTAATTGCCAGAGTGCACATGCACTTACCAGAAAGAGAGAGAGACAGAGGGGGAGAGAGGGAGACGGAGGGAGCACTCTCCCAATGGGGCATGGTCACACTGTAGTTCCTTCTCCATATCTCTGTCCTGTTCCGACTTGGGGCATACATACATGAACATGCACTTTGTTTTTTCAAGTCTGGAATTTGAATCATGGTCAGCCACGTGAGATTCATCTCCCTCAACTACCAGATAACAGAGATGACCCTAAATATAACTTAAAAACTTAAAGGTGTCTGCACTTACCAGAGAGAGAGGGGGGAAGTGAGATATCACCCCCAGAGGGGGATGGTCACATCATAATCCCTTTTTCTCCATTTTTCTCTTGGGATTTTAGATACACATGCCCTCATGCCCATTGTGATTTTCAAACTGCAAGGTCCAAGACTCAAACCACAATCAGCCACGTGGGATCTAATGCCTTAACCATGTCACCTGCTGATCCCCCAATTGCTTGTTTGTTTTTTCCTTCACAATATATATATATATATATATTTTTTAACCTTTGAGGTATCATGATAGTAAGCTTTAAGTGTTTGGGGGCCAGCAGGTGGCGTGGTGGTTAAGGCTCTGGACTCCCACAAGGCTGATTGTGGTTCGAGTCTCAGGCCTGGTGGCTTGAAAATCATGCCAGACACATGTGCATGTGTGTCCAAAATCCCTAGAGGAGAATGGAGGAGAAGGGATTGTGGCATGGCCATTCCCTCTCTCTATCTCTGTCTCTCTCCAGTGAATGCACACTCTTTATGGCAAAAACATAAAAGAAAGTTTGTGTGTGTTTATTTTTTTACACGAGTGAAACTATGATTCCCTCTGGAATATAATACATAATTTTTAAAGTTTTTCTTTCTTCCATGAGTGAGTGAGACAGACAGACACACACACACACACACACACACACACACACAACACACACACACAGAGAACAGGCATCCCCAGCAGTTTTTTCACACCATGATCCATTCCCAGCTTTAGCCTGTCCTCTATTGTGGGCATTCATGTGCGGCATGTTCAGGGAAGTCTCTGGACACAAACCCAGAACCTTCCCATGTAGATGAGCTTCACAGAGCATTGAGTTACCAGTATACCACTGTCTTGCCCCGACATCT